TATTTTATCTTATATTATATTATATTATATTATATTATATTATATTATATTATATTATTTTATTTTATGGCCCTAAACCCAAGTAGTATATGTACTACCGTCTGATTGGCTCAGGTTGCCATGACGTCGATTGGGGGCGGGGCTTTCCGTGAGCAGGAAGTATGACGTAACATTTATTATGGAAAAACGAAGTGGAAACAGAGGTGACGGAACAATGGAGCAAAACGTTGAAGATTACAAGGTATTTACAAGTTTTTTACGATATTTTACGCTCGGTTATTGAAATGTACGGACGCTGACAACTTTGGACTGTGTCGTTTCGGATGAAGGTACTCGCTGTCAGTGTTAGCTGTTGTAAACACGTCGAGCTAGCCGTCGCTCCACAATACTATCCGATAAAGTAAAGCTGTACAGCGGCTGTCAACATACATGTTTGTCACCAGGGGCTTGGATATAAGATGTGCGACTCTGTACCCAAAACCAAACAGACACTGTAACCCTGTCAGCAAAGTATGGTCCATACTAGATCATCAAAGTAAAGTCTAAACAAGTTCTCATATCTGCTCGGTTCGCTTTCACCGTCTGACCTGGCAGAGTCATCATGTGATTGGCTTTCTGTCATTAACCAGCTCTTTCTGATGTGTTTTTATTATTTACCTTTGGTTATTTAAACGGGGCACATTCAGCCTCGGAGTATCTACTTGTTTTGTGTTACAGAAACGTAAAGGTGACCTGATTTCATATCACAAATTAGATTGTAGTTGAGCCATAAGACACAATTGAGCCAATCCCATGAAATAAAAATTGGATAATCGATCGATTATTGACCATATTTTCAAAACCAGCAAAAATCTGCAAAAAATGTCAACATTGCCTGGATGCTCAGTTGTGCATTGGTGCATAAAAATCAAAAAACAAGTACTTTTAAAAATAATAAAGAAAGATAGAAATGATCTAAAGCTAGTACAAGTAATATTTACAATGTGCAAGATAGAAAAACCAACACATATATGATGTTTTTACCATATCGTGCAGCTTCACAAAACTGAGGATTTGTGGCTTTTGTTTGTCGCATAAACACCAAATGTCTTTGGTCAGAATAAAGCAATTTGAATACCTCATCTTAGGCTGTGGGAACTTATACTGGCCTTTTTTACAGATTTTTTAAATTTTATGGAAAGAAAATATGAATTGCAGAAAAATAGATGATGAAAGTAATCATTAGTGGAATCCCTATTAGATACAGTTACTATACACTTAATAAGCATGTTCCCATGAGCGGAATCACAACAGTAAGAGAGATTTCTCTTTATTTCAGCTTACATTTGTATGTTTTCTTTCTCCTCAGCTGATATTTGAGAAGGAGGGAGTGTACCTTCACACAAATGCCAAGAGGAGTAACCAGGACACAACAATCCCAGGGTTTATCCGGATTGTGGAGCGGGTAAGCATATCTGTGTCAGTCCAGGTGGTAAAGACACAAAGAGGGAACTCAAAAAAGCACTGCGATTTAATAACCATGCTTTTGTTGTAGGCCGGGGTGCCAGCTTTAGAGTGGAGCCCACTTGAAGATGAGGGCCGCAGTGCCCCCGCTGTGCTCTACACCAAAAAGGTCAGTACTTACCTGTTTGCTACACATGAAAAGGATTTTTTTTTTCTGTCTCAAATATAATTCTCATCAACATTTTTTCTTACTAATTAGGATGGAGAAGGAGGGGAGGAGGACACAAACTTTGACCCTGGTTATGAGCCAGACTGGGCAGTTATCAGCACAGTGAAGAAAGATCGAGAACACGTCCCAGTCAGAGATTCAGGTGCAGTGTCCACTTGTGTCACTTTGAGCAAACAGTTACGTCAAGAAAGGATTCACAAAACGAAATGTCATCTACTTCTCCTGCAGGTCAGTGGTCGTTCTCTCTGCCTCTCTCGGAGTTATACTCTCTCCGGAGGGCTCGCTTCTCCTTGGGTCGAAACTTCCTGGTGTTTACTAGCAGAGGAGGCCACCCGCTGCCTCCTCTGCACTTCCACCGAGGAGGAACCAGAGAGCTGCTTAGGGCCATGCACCGTTACATCATCCTGGACCAGTAAGTGTCATTATCCCAGTTCTAGCAGCAGTTTCTGTCTTTTATGTTACTGTAAGTATGTTGGAATCCATTGCAAGACAGCTGATGTAGGGTTTCAGACAGAGCTGTTTTTATCTTTGTTGACAAGTCACATGAGTGGGGAAGAAACATCACATGGTTTCTGTTGTTATCATCAGGTCACCGGTTGACGGGCGGCTCTTCCTTGCCTACCCTCATGACTCAGGTGCTCTCTCTCAGTCCTTTGATAAGCTGCAGCTCCTCGATGACGGAGGCTCGGATCTTGTTTCGGTAATTTATTTCATTTTTGAAGAAAACATATACCATAATAATGCTGTTAACAGTGTTATGCTTGATCATATGAAGCTGCTTGTGAGCACACACTGATCATAAAATCTATATTATTAGCTTGTTGATTAGATGACTCGCTGAAAAACCAAAAACACAGTGGGAGCAGAAGAACACTAGACAGGTTGTTGCCATTCTCAATCAAAATAATAAAAAACAAACCTCTAAAAAGAAAAGAAGAGTTGTTTTTGAAGGTTTGGTCACCTTTTCTAGATTGTTAACCTGCAGACCTGAAGAACTTACTTTTAAGGGGCAATGGAAGACCCCTTTTATAAGCCCATTTATGGGACACACCACATGATATGGCTTCTGATTACTGGTTACCCTAAAACTCACATACATAAAGTGGACTGGAAAC